ACATCAGTTTGCTGGAGAAGGTGTGTTGGAAAGTCCTGTGTTTTATGACCCATACACCACCTGAACCTGCCTCCCAATGCGGACCTCTTCCCTCTTTACTCCTGTCAGCACAGTTATCACGTGATTGCAGGCTTCCCAAATGTGTGGGAAGTACGGAAATACGTTCCCAAATACACAAATTATTGGCTCATGATTACTTGGGATATATTCAAAATTTGGTGCATTACTTTCCATAGGTATACATACAAACAGTGCATGAGAACAGCCTGGTATTTTTGATTTTGGGGTGAATATGTAATAAAATGATATGTTAATCAATAGCAATGGAGTACAGCTGCAACAGTGCACACCTTACTTACACCTTACTTACCACATAACCTACCTTTTAACACCAAATCAAACAATTAAATGATGGTTTCAATTAAAGGTCCACTGTGTAGGATTTAGTGGGATCTAATGGTGAGGTTGCAGAACTTTCAAGTGTGTGGGAGAACTACAGTGGCTGACGCGAAAACATGAATGACCCTATCTAGAGCCAGTGTTTGATTTGTTCGTTTTGGGCTACTGTAGAGCAACATGGTGGGCTTCATGAAAAGACCCAATGTGTATGTAGATATAGTATATACAGATATAGATGCCCCTAAATCCTACACACTGGACTTTAAAGAGGAAAGCATGTTTATAAAGACTTGTAAAATAGCGCCAATCTTCAATTCATAGTATGCTTTCTTTTTTACCACTGTCAAAAACATCATAATCTTACATTAATTTATCTCTCCTCATCTCTTTCTCTCCCCCTCTCCCTCTGTTTCTTTTTCAGGTGCATTCAATCCAAGCTTTTACAGATTTGCAAACCTTTTTTCTTTTTTTTTGTTCTTGTTTTGTTAAGGAGACTTCTTTGTGAGAGACTGTGAAATGAAGGGTGAGAATTTAGCTGCCAGCTTTGGACAGTAAAGCTTTAATTCTCCAGCATTGACAATCAAGATCAACTGCAATTTAAACACCCAAGCATGCACACACACACACACACACACACACACACACACGCATGTGCAGATGAATTCACTACCTAAACATGGACACATAAAATCATACATGTGTACACCCACTCACACTCTATGCTGGAATGAGGGAAAGGCCAAGAGGAGCTGACAGATGAATACCAGACGCTGATGGACAGAGACAAACCGATTTCCTCACCCCTTCAAATCCTGCTGTGATGGACTCCGTTTCCCAGAAGTCTGTATCTCGCCAAATCTTTCTGGTCCTGTTCTGTACATCTACAATATGGATGATCACACTACTCTCGCTCTGTTTCTTTCCTCTGTTCTCTCAACCTCCCCTCCTCTGCTAAACCAGCAACTGTGTTCTGCACTCAACCTCCACTGACCTGCATTTCTGTCTTGTGCCCCAGCCTGAAACGCATCTGAGCCCAAAATCTACTTTTTAAAATACCATGAGCCTAGCAAATGTCCCGCTCTGTGCACTCCTTGTGTTGTGTCCCATAAGAGAAAAGTGGACTAAACCAGTTTCTGCTCTTGAAATACCAGCATCTGTACATACGACTCCAGCTCCAAGCCAGAGGCCCCCTCTTCTCTCTGAGGGTCTGTCATCAACATGCCGTCCTCAGCGTTCTGCCATGGTGTCTCTGCTCCTGGGGGGGCGGGAGAGGACTGCAGCATGGAGACCCAACATCCTGTGTTTTGCTGTTTTAACTACAAGGGAAAGAGACATTGAAATCACACAATGGCCCCAAAGAGACTCTTGTTTTCTGTTTGTGAATGTGAGACAGAGCAGGGCGTGTTTGCGTGACTGCAGTGATGCATGTACTTGTGTGTATGTGTGCATTTATGTTCGTGTGAGTCGAGAGTGTGTGCGTGCCTGTGGGGTCAAAAGGAGTGAAGCTCCCCAGACACCAAAGTCTTGGCGGGGTCTCATTCTTTCTTTCACTCTCTCCCTTCTTTTTTCTGTGGTCTTGTGTTGTTTGGTGGTTTTTGTGATGAAAAAATTGTATATCTGTCTGTTACATATCATGTATGTATCTGAGGTGCAAAATATTTAAATACACATTCTGTTCTTGCCATTGGTAATCTTGTCTATAGCATACTGCTTCTTTAAGGGATCACGGGAGGTGTGTGTCTGTTTTTGTGTGTGTTTTAGAGCCTCCCTGAGTATTGGGCTTTGCCCAGGCTGTCTGGGACTGTGTGCTAGAGAGTTCAGTCAAGGACACAATTCGACAGGGAGTGAAAGGGAGGGGAGGCGGGGAGAGGGGAGGAAGGGATGGTGGGGAGGGGAGGGGAGGGGAGGATGTGTTGGAGGGGAAAGAAAGAAACCAGACTGAGAAAATCAGAAAAGAGTGTAGGAGAGGTTCTAAAGCCACTGAAACAAAATGTACAAAAATGCGCTGTTTCAAAATTCCTCATCCAAATAAGGAAACAGCGTAAAGGCTGGCGGTATCAGAGCTGACGGGAAGGGACCCCATGCTCATTCCACATCCTCACGGGGGAAACTTGCTATAATAGAGCAAACATTGTACATCTGCAGCTTGTGTGCCAGACAGACAGAGAGAGTGAGAGAGAAAGAAAGCAGATGGGGGGAGTTTACTGGCTGCATATTGTGTACAGTTTGTCAACAGGCTGACTAAATAGACTCAGACATGGCCGGAGGAAATGTGTTTGCTGTGACATTCCACTGTATGGTGGAAGGGAACACGCACTGTCAACAAGGCGACATGACAGACAGAGAGGAAGAGGGTGCAGAGCAACAGCTGTCTGTCAGACCTTTTGTACTGATACAAAATAACAGCATTTTATTTAAATACAGATATTATTTTCTGTGCTGAATTTAAAATCACAGCCAACTAAAACCCATACTCTTTACAAGTTATAAGCTGTGACAGCATGTAATGTTATATCTCTCTTTACTTTTACTCTATTTTAAAATTATAAACCATAATGAATACTCTATTACAAGTAGAAGTCCTGCTTTCAAAAGAAATTTAAATCAAAGTATGTACTGTCACCAAAATGTTCTTAAAGGTGTTCAGAGGCTCCCTGCCAGTTTTACATATTATTTGAAAGCTGATCCATAAACATGTAAGCTGCATTTTGATATAGCCGGGGAGCACATTTTAACAATGTTATGTTCTGTTGGGTTGCATACTATAACCATATGTCTTATTTTATAATCTAATCATAGGTTTAGTGTGTAAAATGTGAATCTCCTAGGTAACAGCAATAGGACTAGCTGTCAAATGAATGTAACAGAGTAAAAAGCAGAGTATTTCCCACAAAATTATGGAGTGGAATGGAGGTAAAAATCAGCCTCAAAACCGTAGCATGCTTGAGTAAAAGTACATCGTCGTAGTGTCTGAACTGCTGTTTCATCATTAATGTTACTAATTCAAACTCTAGTGTTAATGAGACAATAAAATTTTTTAGTGATACTACAGTTACCGCTCATACTGGTGAGAGCTGCTTGTGTGTCGCTTAGCAACAACTTTAGCAACCTTCTGATGTCATTAGTTTAAAGGGACAGTTAACCTGGAAATCAAAAATGCATATTTTTCCTATTACCTGCAGTGCAGTTTATTGAGATTGGTTTGATGTGAGATGTTGAGTGCGTAGAGATGTTTGCCTTTTCTCGGCTTGTGGTGCCCACAGAGCCGAAAAAAAAAGCAGTTGAAAAACTTGACAGCAATGTGTCCTTCCAGAAATCATGGCCCGTTTACTTGTAAAATCTACAGACCTTGTTGTGAGCAGTTTGATGCAGAACCCTGTCTCTTTCTACTAAACTACACCCACTCAGAAGGAAGCGTGCATCTACTGCTAGCTCACCTAGCACCACTGACGTAGCTCATGTTACAGCTTAGCCGATGAGGACCCCATTGATTTTTACATCTCGTGCAGTCACAAGCATGAGCCTCCTCTCCATAAGTACATCAAGACCTCAGAAACTGCGCGGGGATTTGAAGCCAATTTTGCATTTGCTGCAAAACATTGAATTACAACATCCAGGTCTGTCACGTGATGTCATGGGCCCTAAAAGGTTTTTTTTCCTCCATAGATTTACAATTGTGAAAGAGATGTCTGTAAATCTGTTACAACCCGCGCACAATGACTTGGTTCACTATCAGGAGTCAATCCACTCTGTCCAATAACATTTCGGAAGTCTTTCACAGCTGCACAATAAAATCATTGTTATCCCCATTTGAGTTAGAGCACTTAACCACAAGTTGGCTGTTTGGCCGGCAGAAGTCTCTATGGCGCCTGCTCTATGGGCCCCAGGATGCAGAAGATCTGGTTCATTTAATGCTGCGGAAATAGAACTTTTTCAGCTTCATGCGCCACTGAGCAACTTTCATAGGAATGAACTGAGCCCTGCCTCCAGCACTGTGTCCAGTTCTCTTTATACATCCATGAGCAGATGCACACTTCCTTCTGCTTGGTGATTTGGTTGGTGGGTGTATTTCAGTAGAAAGAAAACTTATGAAACTGCTCACAACAAAATCTGTGGACTATCTTGGGTAACTGAGACGTTGCTGTTGAGTTACTTAAATGTATTTTTTAGGTTCTTTGAGCACCACAAGCTGAGTGCCATCTAGTTCCATTATACTGGAGAGAAGGCAGACATCTCTACAGCTGATATCTCCAACATGGCATCTCACACCAAAAAATGTAGACTGATTAATAGTGCTACAGGTAAGAGGAAGAATATGTATTTTTGATTTTGGAGTGAACTGTCCCTTTAAGTTAAGCATCTTTCGTTTCTTATGAGTGGTTTTTGGCCTTTTTTCCCAGAACATGAGTGAGTTTGAACAAACAGTACCATTTAGGTTAATTTTAAACTGTAAGAGTTAGTTATGAGCTAAATAAGGCGGCAGTCACTGTGTCACTAAGGCCACCATTGACCGAGGAATGCACTTCGTCATCACAAGTTTCCCCTGGGGGTAAGAAGAAGGAGAAGGAGGTCTGGGAGGAAAGAGGAGGAGGGGTGTTCTCAACAGGGACTTTCCTCACTTGCCCTCCTGAAGAAGCTGAATCACAGGGCACTGTGCCGGAGATGTTCCCCGGTGTCGCCACGGTGGAGGTATGCGGACCTGTGCGCTGTGGTGGGGCCGCGGTGGGCTCCCCCTCCGCTCGGTGATACTACTCCTTCTAGTCCCTCCGTTTCTCCTCGCGCTCCAGCTCCTCGTTGTCGGGCCACGGTTACCTCGAGTTGCAAGGGCAGGGGTGGAAGAGCAGGAGGTGGCTTATTCCGTGATCAGCATCGAACCGGAGAGGAACTCACGCCAACGGGGATCCCCGTCCTGGCGTCCGGGTCTGGAGGAGGAGGAGGAGGTAGAGGTGGAAGATGGAGACAGAGGGGAGGGGGCACGAGCGTATGAGGATGAGAACGAGATGCTCTCGCGCCAGGTAAGTAGAATAAAACCAGTAGTGAAGTTTAATTGAAATGTTTCTGAACATTGGTGTAGATATTAAATATTTAACACATGTGCATCAGTACCTTCTAATAAACACATGAAAGTAATAGATGACTTATATTTTGACAAAATTTAAAACATTTACACCATGAATTGATGTGGAAAAGCCACACATTGGTGCATAAAAACTCACCAGAATGCAGGAAGTTGAGTGTTCAATACTCAAAATGTTTTTGACCGACAAACCCAAACCTGCAGTTTCACAGGTGCCCCCCTTCAATGTTGAAAGGAAACCTGCTAGTTTCTGAATATTTGCATTATTGTCAAAGAATGGATGATTATTGATATTTATTGAATTATTGGCAGCACAATGGCACAGTGGTTAGCATTGTCGCCTCACAGCAAGAGGGTTCCTGGTTTAAACTCAGGGTAAGGGGCTCGAACCTGGGGTAGGAGAGCCCTTCTGTGCGGAGTTTCAGCATGGGTTTTCTCAGGGTGCTCCAGCTTCCTCCCACAGTCCAAAGACATGCAGGTTAACTGGTTAAATTGTCTGTAGGTGTGAATGGTTGTCTGTCTCTGTGTCAGCCCTGCGATAGTCTGTCCAGGGTGTACCCCGCCTCTGGCCCGATGACAGCTGGGATAGGCTCCAGCCCCCAGGATAAGAAGTTACAGAAAATGAATGAAAATAGACAAATTTTCATTTTCACTCATGGTACTAAGGTGCAATAATTTGATCCTACTCAGTGTTGGGAAGTATCTAGTCACAGGTAACATCTAATTAAATTACAAAATAAATGTGATTGTGGTCAGTTACAGTGACTTTGAGAAAAAGAAAAAGAATTAAATTACAGTTGCTATTGAAAATGTTGGTGATTACAAAGGGGTTTATATGTAGAATAAAATGTTGTTGCTTTGCATCTTTTCTCCATGCAGGAACGTCTTCTTTTGGTATAAACTATTTCCAGACATTTTTCAGCTTTATTACGCAGTTTAAAACATTTGTTAGAAAAGTAATCAAATGTAATAAGTTACATTAATTTGGTGAAGTAATTAAAACAGCTACATTACTTATAACATCTTTAAAAGGGTAACTAGTAATCTGTAGCCTATTAAATTTTAAAAGTAACCTTCCCAACACTGCTCATACCTCATTAAATTTTATGCCATATTGCGTACCTTAACACTAATTAAACATAATTTAAATATTAAATTTGAAAGAAGGAGACAGATAATGTCATCAGTATACTGTACATGCTCAGCTTAGGGATACAGATAAAACAGACTGCCCTGCTGCCGTGGTTTCCTCATCCAGTTTATTCATTATGCTGGGTCAGTTTGTGCGTGGCGCCGTGGAACAGGTGAGGACAGAGGGTGAGCACAGCACTGACCCCAGATCAGAGAGAGGTGACAGCTGTTCTCCCTCTCTCTCTGTTTGCCCTTCAGCTGCACAGAGCTCCAACCTTCATCTGTGTACGTGTGGGTGCATCTGTCATCTCTTTACCTCAAACTCCTTCCAATCACTCCTCACCCCCTCTCTCTTTCATTCTCCTTTTCTCTCACTGTCTCTTTTTATGCCCAAGGCTAAACTCTCTGACTCATTCTAGTGAATCATCAACCCCCCCACTCCCCACCGAGGTTGCCATGGTGACCACAGGGTTCAGTCTGAGTTGGGTGGGGGGGCTTTGTGTGAGTGTGTGTGTGTGTTTGCATGTTACAGTGCCTCGGGCAAATATGTTACCAGCCGGACTGAGGTCAGAGGCTGTGACCTGCCTCCTCACCACTCATACCTGGGGCACGGTGGGGGTCTGGGGCCTGCTGTAGCAGACACACTCACACACATTACTGTCATTCCTATTCATTATTTAGAACCCTTCCAGATTACCATGAATCTGTTGGTATTCCTCGCACTGCAGTATCAATATATTGATATGTTTGTGTGCGTGTTCCCAGATGGGACCCAGAACACTGGAGGTGCAGCCGTGGGCGATAGACGAGCCGTCCTTCACAGCAGAACTCAAGCGTATCATCACGTATATAACCAGGCTACAGGTGGGCTGCACAAAACATCACTTTAATACACAGTACGGCTGTCAGTGTGTGAAATGTCTGAACGCACTTTAAAGCTACAGTTGGTAACTTTTATAAAGAGTTGCTGAAACTGTCACTATGTATTTACACAGCACTAAATACGAGATAATCTGTGAAACATATCATATTCCTCTGCCTCCTCTATCGGCTTGTAAGGCTTTTAAAATGGCCCTAACTCAGCTGTCAGTCTTGTCGGTCAGTGCTCATGAGCTGTGGTCAAACCAGGCAGCGCTGATTAAATATGAATCAAAGTTCTGTTACTGCATTGCCTATTTCTCCCCTCAAATGTTTTCAGAGACATATTTTAGTGTACTGTTTAGCTGTAAAATGAGAAAGTCAGTCCGGCTGGTGGGCGGCAACACGGTGGCCAGGTCACAAACTTTCTCATTTTGATGCAGTAACAGAATCTTGATTCATATTTGATCAGTGCTGCCTGGTTTGACTGTTTGACCGCAGTTGAGTTGTTGTGTGTATGTCACTCCTCAGCTCTGATTGGTTGCTGCTGGCCGGATTCCAGCGAATGCCGTTAGAAGCAGTTGGAAGAGAAGGAGGGACATGCTCTTTTTCAGACTGTCTAATGTGTTTCTGTCAGAATGTAGTGACAGTTTCAGCAATTTCAACTTTTCTATTGACCCCTCACCCCACTCCATCCTGTATCCATACTACTAGTAAGACACATGTATCCAAAATTTAACAATAAATACAAATAGTGATCACAGCAATCCCTGATTTTATCTGCCATGACTCTCCATGCTGAGATAGCTCCACCACCAACACCATGCACCCTCACCACTGATAAATCCATATTAATTATATCAATACATGTGTTGATCCGTTGAGCTTTTGTAACTGTATGCGGAGGTTTCCAACGTAGAGCCAGCATTTATTTGGCAGCAAAGGAGAAAATATCTATTCAAACATGTAAAATTTAATGAGGAGGTTTTATTTAAGAGTAGCATGGTGGGAGAACATGGCACAACTACATCCAGTACATCAGATAGAGTAGCTCGCACATCCCAACATTCCCAATACAGCCTATCTGAGCATGAGGTACAGTTTGAAGATTATAACCCTTCCTCTGAGTGAGGCAAGTCTTGTGAATATAATTGAAATAAATCTGCTTGTGATGCAGGTTTTTAGAAGCAATAACAATTGAAGACCACATCTTCTTGCAGTCAAGAGGATCCTCTCCAATGTGACGCTTCAGCTCTGTAGTCCATAGACACAAAGTTATTTTCATAAAAGTTACCAACTGCAGCTTTAAAGGCTCCTATTATCATTAACATGATCTAACTGGGTGAAACATTTACTATTCTTTGTAGACTTCAAGATAACAATACAGACAGACAGTGAGAAATGACAGGATGAGCAGTTATGAACTCTGAGGAAATAAAATGTAAAGCTATGAAGGCATTAGGTACACAGTGGTCTCCTTTTGGCATGTGACCCTTTAAATAAGTTGTGTCTGCCAATGACCTCTCATCACAGGTTGTGACTGTGAGCTGTGAGCAATTTAACAAAAATTTCCCTTTCAGATTGATTCATTTGAATAATTTTCACATGCTGGGAAAGGAAATAACTCTCCAGTATTTCATGAAAAAGGATACAAAAACAAGCCACAGAGAGAGAAAGAACTCTCTTTGTGATCGTCTCATGACTCCTCAGATTTATCTTGTGGCCCCTCAGGCGGCCCTCAGGTTGGAAACCACTTGTCAAATATTCTGGGCCCTCCCTGACGCTCTCAAGCTACACCCCTGCTCACGAGGGACCAGATACGGTAGCCAGGAGTTAGATCGTGCCAAACCTTGAGAGTAATCAATAAAAAAACTTCACTTTACAACTACCTCACTTCTTCAACTGCAGACTTCCAGTGTGGGGGTTAACGTAGCAGTAATATGATCAGTCAGGCACTGTCAGTATCCTGGCAGCAGCATTCTGCACAATCTGAAGCCAGTGAGGAGAACTTTCAGTTCCAGACTGGAAACTCCCATACAAGAGTTAAGACTTATGTAACACCAAGTTCTGGGGGACTGGGAGGGAAAATGATTAAACTGAGTATATTGTGTTGATTTTATTCTGTAATTATTCAATACCTGCAGGTTAAATGATTATCATCAGCTGAATCTCACATTCAAGACTCGTTCTTTATCAGAAAATAATTTGCTTTACTTAAAGGGATTTGGAGACACCCCTTGCTGTCTGAAATGTTCTCACAAATTTCACAAGAAACAACTTCTTCTTTAACTTCCTCTCTTTTTAGCTGTATGTTAATTCTGTGTAAAACTGTTCTCAGACCTTTATCCAGTTCATCTCACGTGACCCTCTCCTCTCCTGTCCATCTTCAGCTGAACTGCTCCAGGGTTTTGTGTCCAGGTCAGGCTCAGGCATCACAGCCCCCCGCAGATTCACCTCGCTGGCTGCTGTGTGCCGAGGACTGGCTCCTTCCAGCTGCAGAGAGACCGTGTGTTGCGTACTCCTTTAGGTGTGCCCGCATGTCTGTACACTATGTCCATGTGTCTGTGCATGTGCTGTGGTGCTTATGCATTCATGTCGCTGGCAGAGTTGGAATAAACAATGCAATGCATATTTAATCATGCATGCAATAATCTTCAAACCACCTCTGTGCTCCCTCGCCTCTCCGTCTAGCTTTGTGTCTTTGTCTTTGTCTCTCTCTAGCATGGATGGGGGAGATGCAGACTTTCTAACGACTGTGTCAGCGCTGGGATGTGAAGTCCACACTTTTGATCCCAGCAACTCTAATGCATCTGGTGGTCACCTTGGCAACAGTTTGGCCAGTAACCATGGCGACGGAGGCGTGGTCAGCCAGCACAAGATGTGGCTGGACTGGCGAGCTCCAAGGAAGCGCAGGCAGAAGACAAGAGGCAACCAGGGGAGTGTTTCTCAAACACTGGCAGACATCATGGCTGCTCTGGGACATCACACAGTAAGACACACACACACACACATATGGACAAGCAGACACACACTCACACATATGGACAAGCAGACACACACACACATTTGGAGAAACAGTGCCGAACAAACATACCTTAGAGTCTTTTCACCCCAACATACCCAGAAAGCTCTCTTACTTGGACGTTCCCATAGCAACAGGGCTCTGCGCCATCCCTGGCTGCCATGGCAACAGTTTAAGTGAGTGAATCACACAGTGGCCCAGTTACATCCTGCAGCCACAAGAGGGAACTACAGACCTATAGTTTGAGGATGTGTGGGTTGACAATGTAAGTATTGGTTAAAGATATCCATTTATAGACATTCAGTAATGACTTTAGTTTGATTAACTTGCCTTTGCTGATTAAGTTTATGATTACAAAGCAACATGCATTATATGGAAAGTAGTGAGGCTGCACAACACGAAAAAATCATTAGTACTTATTACATTTTGAGAGCAATTTGTGAACCACATACATGAGAATTATTGCCAGGGCTGGGTATCGATACTTAATGTCTTTAATTTATCGACCAAAATAACCCAGGAGCAGGTAGTATTAAAACTTCTTTAGTCAAATGATACCTGCATTCGATCCTTTTTGCCCAGATCTAGAAAAATATTAGTGTTTGTGTGGTTTTTACTGGTATCATAATGTTTTAAATGATACCCAGCTCTATTGTGAAGTCCTACAGAACCACATTCAGTCTCTTGTCTCTTCCCCTTTAGGTTCACTTCCTGTATGCTGACCTGCACAGCGCCGAGTGGCGAGTTTTCCAGAACTGGATTGAGTTGGGAACTCTGCAGAACGTCCATCATCTGATCACCACAGTGCACCTGCAGTGGGCAGGATTTGAGGTGGGCGGAACCAATGAAGAAGTCCTCCGCTATTGGTTCAGCGTCCTACAGGGTCTCCAAGCGTCTGGGCTCAAGCTGATCCACAGCTCTGCAGGAGAGGGTCGCAGTGTTCTCAAACAGACAGTAGCAAACGGCCACAGCTCCTACACACTCAGCTGGACCAACACGAGACGATGACACTCGCACATGAATGAGCTCAGGTGCACACACATGACCAGACACTGTGGATGGCATCAGAAAAGAAGGAGAACCTTAAAATAGTTGGTTGTGTTGGACTTTTCTTACAGTAAACTTTTTTTCCCTGCCATTTCAGGCAAACAGTTCTTTGGATGACATCTCCCTCTAGTGGAGATGAAAGGAACTTCAGCTGCACCCTCAGTGGAAATACTGTCTGTCTGCAGCTTATACTGGATAATTTGTCAAGATATGGAGCAGAGAGTGGGCAGCAGATATATGTAAATTGCAGCAACTTATAGAATATGCCTAAAAGCTGTCTGGCAGCTACCAACACATTTTCATTTATTTTCCTTTTTTTTAGTTGAACCACAGTGCCTTTATCTGTATGATACCATTACATACAGTGCAACCCCTTTTGCAATAATTGGACCCAGCTGAATAGACTCAACACATCATGTTGGTTCAGCAGATTATTTCATGTATTAGTGCACATCTCTGTAGGCCTTACAATACTTTATTTGCAATAATTCTTTACACTGAAGAAACACTTTAATTATATTGAGACTATTAGTGTGAATAATATGAAATTTAAGCATTTTTGCACTCTGCCGTTTCCAAAGAAGAAAACAATGAAGCCGTGTTATAGAAGTGAATAAATACCACAGTAAAATACCAAATAAAACCAGTTACATTCCTCAGTTTTTGGTTGTATATATAACACATTTATATTGGTGGCATCTGGCAGAAACAAAGTCCTACACTGTCTTTGATATGTCAATAATTTAAAAATGGTGTGAGATCAATGTTGAATGAAAGAAGAGCTAATTATTGTCCCTTTTCCACTCACATGCAAACTAAGCCAAATCATGCTTTGATGTAGTGATGGACATTTACAGTTGCATGAATTTATTTAGAAGTTTCTGCATTAACTCAGGTTTATTCTGTCTTATAGGAGAAGAAAACTCACAGGCGGGGGTGTATATTAGATGCCATCTTAATATAATTGTGGTATGTGTGATTCCTAGGATGATCTTGAATCACGCATATGTGTATTTCCAATAAATTTTCAGTGTTTTAATTAAATTACAGAGTGTGCATTTTCCTTTCAATGTATATGAACTTTATCCATGAAGCATTATTGTGTTATTCTAGCACAAATAAGTCTAGAATGAAGACACTTTATCCATGGGTAGATTATGAGACAGTGGGCCCCTGGGCTCAGACATGCAGAAGGCCCCACCACCTCTGCTTCCTAGGAGCAAGATACAAAGACATGGATGACTGAGGGCGCATTTACACCAGGATAGTCCGGGGGACTTGGTTCGACTGGGCGGGGAATGCTGAAAAATTTCACACCTTCATTTGGTTCGGTTCACTTTCACACTGCACTTTTTGAAGCGGACCAAACCGCCTGGACAATGTCACGCGGTCACAACAGCTGCTTGTTTGGGTTGGAAGAAAAAAAGCATGAGGAAGAAGAAAACCTGGCTCACCGATTGCCCAGGACCGAGAACGGAAATCCATCCCCTTCAGATCTTAATATATTGCTGTCACAGTTTTTTTTTACCTTGATGCAATACTGATCTGCCGCCTGATTAAATCCGTGTGTCGCAATCCTCTCGCTAAACAATTTAAAAACTGCTTCTCCCCGTTCATGCTGTTGGCTTTCTTTTTTTTTTTCTACCCAAAATGCACTGCGCTCTACGTCACTTCCTCTCTTTGGTTCACTGCCTCTCTTTAGTTCACTTCCTCTCTTTAGTTCACTTCCTCTCTTTGGGTCACTTCCTCTCTTTGGTTCGCTGGATAGTCCGTTTGCATTTCCCACTGTGAGTGAACCACACCAGGGTTCACTTGCAAGTGAACCAAGACCCCCAGTTTTCAAGCGGACCAGAGTTTGCTTGTTTGGTCTGCACCAGAGCTCGAATGAGTGTTCACAAACGAAACGAACTTTCCGTGGAGGTGGACCAGGGTTCGTTTAAAGCGGACCAAATAGCGCCAGTGTGAATGCGTCCTGAGATAGTTGTTTTGCCTTTTTGTTGGTTTTGTGCCTTTCTTTGTAGTCAGTACACTTCTCTGTGTGTTTTTAATGTCTATTTGTTGTTGCTTTGCATCTCATTGTGGTGATTTTGTGTCAGTGATTGTTCTGTCCCTTTCCGTAGCCTCTTTGCATCTCGTTGTAGTTGTTTGTCTCCTTGTGGTCTTTTTGTGTCTCTTTGTTGTCATTTTGATTCTCTCCCTGGTTGGTACGTGTCTCTTCAGGTGAAATTTTGCATGTGAAGGCCAGGGGCCCCTGACACTTTGGGCCCAGTCGGCCTGTTTGGTAATCCATCCATGACTTTACCACAAGACAAGCCTATTATCCTGAATAATTATCTTATTGCAACATTCAAACAAACCAGTTGTCTCAATACTACCATTTACCACACGTTCCTATACTTGGATAAATGATTTACCTTTACCGTAAGCTGACACCTCTTCTCCCATAAACCCTGTGTACTTCCAGTTTGCATGGTCTGAGCTGAGGTGTAGGATGCACTTAACACAAACCAAACAAAGCGCAGAGGACAGTTATTTATCCTCATAAGTGCTTTTCCCTCCACAGTGAGCTCATTGCGCATCGAGGCCAATGCCAGTCATTCCTCGGACGCGTTCCAACTCGCTTGAGCGCACGTAGGAATGTGCTCCTGCCTCCACCCCACGTTACGCAAATTACGGACAGATGTTTGCCACTAGTCAGGGTGTAGTTGCGCTCTTTACGTTGAAATTTCCACATCCTGTTCTGAGCGAAAACAGGCGACAGGCGCATCAGCCAATCAGCTTCGAGGAACTAACTCGCCCGACCAATGAGAAGTTCGCAATCCCGGGACTTCAGTGATCTGTCCGTGCACTGTACCGCTCAACATTTCTTGTGGAAATCTTGAGACAGGACAACAAACAGACTGTATTGAGAGAGTCTACAGTTGCCAGTTTTGACGGTAAGTAAAATTATGTTTAGTCGGTGTTGTTTTCATAAGGTAAAGGGTGTAAACATACTTTTGTTTGGTTGTTCTTTCGAGATAGGAGGCGACTACAAGTTACTTCCTGCTCTGACAAGGCCGAGATCCCAAGTAATATTTTAGCCCATTTTAGCTAATGTTGTGGGCGTTAAAGTGTAACATTTCCAGCTAATTTATTCCCTTGTAGTGGCCTATCGAGGAAAACCTTTACAGTGTGTCCAAGATATTAAACTTATCAGTAAAACATGTATAATTTCAGCGTGTCATTTTGACAGGGAGCGACTGACTGTAACTGCCGAGCATACCATTAACCACACAGTGCGTTGGGGCTGTCTATTATCTGGAGTCCATTCAGCTGTAACTAGTTCCACTTTTCATTTAGACATAAAAACCTGACAGAGTTTCTGTATGCTAGGATTTAAAGTACGCATTACAATGTGCCTTTCAGCCGAAGAACAAGAGCAGACGCTTGAATCCACCTTGCAATGCTGACTGTATCATGACCTCACCATTCTGTGAAGCACCAACGTTAACACGAAACACTTGTAATTAGGCAGCCAGCATGGGGAATAGGAAGCTCTGCAGGGTGTACTTACAGTAAGCTAAATTCTGCCTGTCTGCACTGTCTTGGTAGCAGGGAGAGCCTGCAGTCACTGCATATCTCTGAGCACCTCTGGGAGTTGTCACTCTCTGAGCAGACACCATATGGCACTGTAGAGTGACTGCTTTGTGTGGGGAGCTCACCTGTCACACACTGACTGATTTGTCCAATATAATTCCAAATATTTTCACTGCTGTAAGCATACTGGTGCAGAAATCATTACTCCATCATTCCCCCTCCTCTATTTTCATGTTGAATTTTCCGGTTTCTCATAATCTGGGTGGGTGCTGGGTGTTTTCTGTGTGACAAGGATTTGGTTTTGCTTCTGCTTTAGTTCTGTCTGGCTCAGGGTTTATTTATAAATGCGTGGCTGGGTCACATGAGCATGTGACTTATTTAGGGCTGGATGCAACAATTAGTTTCATTATAAAGTTATTTGTGAATGACCTCTTGATTGATTGTTCAGTCAATACATTATCATAAACCAGTAAAAAACATCCTTTATAATTTCCTAGAATCCAAAATGACATCTTTAAATGTCTTGTTTTGTCTAACCAACAGTCCAAAACTCAAAGAGATTAAATTCAAAGTTACATAAAAGAAAAAAAGCAGCAAATCCTCACATTTGAGAAGCTGAAATCAGTCATTGTTTGTCCTTTTTTGAGTCAAATTACTTAAATCTATCATCTGAATGGTTGTTGATTAAATAATTGCCAGTACACCAGTTGAACTCTTAAATATTTCAGCACTAGACTTAATAGTATCACAGCTGTAATTAATACATGGTAATATATAGTGGTGCTCCTAACGACACATTTTCTGACGTTTGAATGGAAGTTTAAACTTTGATTAGTCGACTTGTCTTAAAGTAAGAAAACATTAAGAAAACAGTCACAAGTGAGGACAATTTCATCCAAGGTTATACACTGTGTGCAAAAATATTGTGTTTAAGAGTCATATGTAATCATTAACCACATTTTCCAATAACCAGCTCATATTTTAAAGGCAGCTGGAATGTGAGGCACGTACATACGCATAATAATTTTTATAATAAGTGGCACCAACTAGTTTTTCTGGTGCCGACTGACGATGGTATCAACGTTTAACCCCCAGTAACACATGATATCTTAGTGCTGCCTTTCAGTCCCTCTGTGTTTGTATTTCTCTGCCCTAAATGAACTTCCTCTTCCCCATCAGGGTCGGGCCCCCTACCCACAGCACCCCACCATGCCTCTGGTTACGAGGAATATAGAGCCACGGCATGTGTGTCGCCAGACCATCCCTGCCAATATCCGCAGCGAGCTGGAATGTGTCACCAATATCAGCCTGGCCAACATCATCCGCCAGCTCGGCAGCCTCAGTGAGTGTCTGCTGTGTGTGGTTAAGTGTCATTATGTCTGTCAATAAAATAAGATGTAATTGTGTAATAACGCGTGGCAGATGTGACTGACCTGTTTGCACCTGTTAATTCAAAGTATGATTTAATTGTAGCTGTGAATACGCATTTATTGTGCCTCTGTGAGACAAATATTTTAATGGTGTGTGTAGGCAAATATGCAGAGGATGTGTTCGGGGAGCTGTTTGTGCAGGCTGGAGCATTTGCGACCAGAGTAAATACACTGGGAGAAAGAGTGGACCGTCTGCAGGTTAAAGTCACCCAGCTGGACCCCAAAGAAGAGGAGGGTGAGTACTCCCACCTGTTTCTGTTACTATCACTACCAACGTTAGTATCAGTGTAGTTCATTAGTCTAAATAACAGGTAGATACAGGTAGATAATTAAATTTCCTGTTCACCTTTTTTACACTGACTCACACGACTAACATTCTCTTTCTTTCATCTGTCTGTTTCTGTCTCAGTCTCTCTGCAGGCCATCACTACCCGTAAGGCCTTCCGCAGCAGTGTGACCCAGGACCAGCAGCTGTTCACCAGGCCGTCTCTACCAGTGCCTGTGCAGGATACCTACATAACCTGTAATCCGCCTCCACCCCTCAACTACCTCAGCCAATACCGGTAGGGCTCAGCAGCCACACAGAAACACATCCATATTCATTCCGTGGATGTAGTGCATGTAGTAATCAGAACACGTGCATGCACATGTGCACACATGGAAACACACATGCATGCTATGTTTCTGTCATGATTATACATTATTCAAACCCACCTCTTTGATGCGTTTGCTTTCAAATCCTCATCATGGAGTGGGTCTCATATAGTGGCTGGGCTGTCATGTTATCTGTTTGTCTTAATGAAGTTCAGTTCCCGGGAAGGGCTGAAAAAAAATGTTAGTATATTTATCCTGTTGTTCAGGAGACATTTACGAGTGCTTGAGATGTGTCGTTTTAATGCAGTGCTCTTTACTTTTGTTTATTAGTTTGTCAGTATGTGGAAGAGAAAATGATTTTGACCTGCTTACATCCAGGCAGTTTTTGTTTTGTTGCCAGTTTTTGTAACCAACAAGCTATCATCATGACAAATCACACCAACTCAGACATGCTTCATGAGAAGAAGAAATATTCTCTGGGGAAAATAATAACCATATGTGTCACAACCCAGCTGACACATATCCTTGAGATCTCGAATATTAATGACACACGAGGCATGACATGTCACCGGTGGTATGTTTAATTAGAACAGAGGGTGAAGTCTGTATAATCAGTAACCGCAGCAGTGAGTGTAAGCTTGTCCAATTACGGCACAAAGACTGTGAGTGTTTGAATGTGTAATGGGTATTTATTTGACACATCTTTTCAGAATATGGAATATTTGTTCTGCACACTAGGTGGTATGTGATAAAAAGAAAACGGCCTGTTTCTTTTTATTGAGCGAAAAGGGGAAGTGTTGCAGCTTGTTAATATATTGACATGTAAGGCAGATAAAGATCTGTCAGCAGACATTTTGTTTTATGTATGTCTGTGGCCACAAGATAACAAAGTGTAACTGAGACCAAAATGCATTTCTAATGACGGTAAATGGTTGTCTGCAGGGACGATGGGAAGGAGGCGCTGAAGTTTTACACTGATCCCTCCTACTTCTTCGACCTGTGGAAGGAGAAGATGCTGCAGGACACCAAGGACATCATGAAGGAGAAACGCAAGCACAGAGTGAGACTCATAAACATGCTCATACACATAGTGGCACAACATACATTGAGTTTTAAAAGCAAGCAGACATCATTGGCCGCATCAAATGAAATCCTTGTTGACTCTTTTTCACTCTTTCCTTTCTGAGTAGAAGGAGAAGAAAGACCATCTGAACCAACGGACGCTCAATCCAAGAAAGATCAAGACCAGGAAGGAGGAATGGGAACGCCGTAAAATGGGGGAGGAGTTTGTGGTGCCAAAGAATGATCTGATGTAAGTTGAGTGATTTGGTGAAGTGAGGTGGAAATCTCGACTGAGAACCTGTTCTGGTTCGCATCAGTTCCTTTTATTGATGCGGCATGTTTTTCTGACAGTTGTGTGTTGCAAGAAAAATAATGTCAAACTCATGCGTCTGTGTTGCTGGAAAGTTGCAACAAGAAGGAGTCATGGCAAAGAGGAAGAAACAATCCAAAACGTGGCTTCATTTCACAAAGAAAGATGACAAGAGTGTTGCTTGTAATCTCTGTAAAACGATAAACGATGCACTAGTGCCACTGCTTCCATCCAAACAGCATGTCCGTTATTGAGGGTAAATATCCTGTTATTATAATGTTAGGGCCATACAGGCAGGCGTAAAAGAACCTAAACAAATACTCCTAATATTCTCCCATTTCATCCATATTAGATAATGACAGATTGCTGCTGCACTGTGTTCAAACTCAGAGATAAAACAGTTGTGTTGACGCTGACACCCTGTGTAGGCCTGCTTTTTCTCCACACAGAAAATTTATCTTGAAACTAATAGGAAATTGTAAAGAATAGGGCCGTTGAGCAGAATCAATAATGGCATTGGTATCAATAAAATCATGTCAACTCCTATTCCTGCTCTGCAGTTTGGTGGGGTATGTATTCATGTGCAGTTGTGGTCATCCAAAGCCCCAAGAGGCTTGTGAATGCATCACAGCAACAAGTAAAAAACAATGACTCAATGAATCCATTATTTCTCTCTCTAGTTAACACAGTAAAAGTATCTCTCACAGTTAGTTCCACTCTCCTCTGTCTTATCAACCAATCTGTACACAGTGATGTGGGTGGTATGTCCTGTCCGAAACTGTTCCTAAGGGGTTGGGTGTAGAGCTGGCTGTCAGTGGCAAATGGCAGTAAACAAATATGTAAGCCACAGACGCCCCTAGTGTAGTGTTTTTCTACGGGTGCTATTTATTCTTGAATATATTGTTTAAGTAAATGAACAGAAAAGAAAAAGAATATGGAAATGGAAAAAACAATAACATAAAAGGCACATGAAAAACAATCTCCTTCAAGAGCGATTTACCGTGTAATTAGCCGGGCTTGTTTGTAACTCAATCACAAGGAGGAAAGAAAAGAAGATTTTATTTCAAGTTCTTAAACTGAAGGACAAGCCAGTCTCTTACTGTTGTGTAAGTGACTGTACTCTGTGCTGTTTCAATAGCTGTGAACCAGTCACCACAGGTTTCAGTCTCACTATTTGTGTCTGCTGCTGTGAATGCATTTGTGCTACTCATAAACAAATAACCCACAACTGCTAATTAAGGCTGTAGATGCTGTCAGAATGACCAGGTTTCAGAAGGCAGAGACGACACATTTTATTTTGGGCTTATCGTGATGTCTTCAAATTTATTTTAAGGAATTCTTCTGAGGGTCTGAATGGCAGCATTGGATCTGGAGATGGCTTCAATTCCGAAGGCCTCGAGCAGAGTACCAACTCCTACGCTTATGATCCTGGCTCGCCTCTCTCTCCTCCTGGCACTGATGACTTCCTGCCTCCTCCACCTCCAGACATGGCGTAAGTAGCATCTTCCATATAAGCCCACACGCGCTGCCGCCCCTGCCAACATGTGCTGGATATACAGCCACACGTGAACGGTACAGCTGCAACCCTTAACACATTTTCTTAGAATTATAGACTCCTGCAGTGGCTAAGTAGATTATAATCGCACTGTTCACTTTCACTCAGTGATTGTTTAAGGAGCACGAGCTTCTCACATAGCAGCTGCAAACAAAATGGTTGATTGGAGGTAAATGGTCCTGTTTGTTGTTTAAAGTTCCCTTCAGACATGTTTTAAAGAATGTAAAAACACTCTGGTATGATTAAATATTTTGTTTAACATGGTTTTCCCACATAAAAAGTAAAAAAAAAAAATAACAAAAAGGGACTGGAAGTACATCTACTCTTTCTCTCGTTGAGAAATTCTGGATCTGGCTTCTCACCCTGGCTAGCATTATTGTCTGAGGAAACATAGGAGAGCTTCAGCTACATGTTTTTCAGTCTCAGAGAGTCTGTTGTAAACTACGATTGGCGACTAGCAGAGGTAACAGAATGTAGGTGTCATTTGGTGTCGTCAGCGTTTTCTATTTCTACTGTGACTGGTAGTGGCTGACACAGCATTAGTGGTTGTGAAACTTACAATAATATCTGCTGTGATGCTACAGTATTTTCACGTTGTCACATTGTTGTTATGTCATCATATAGTGGAAGTCTAGTCAGAGCTTGCAGAAAGATATATTGTGTCTGGCTGAGATGATTATATTATCTGTAGCAAGTCAGCTCTGCCCCAGAGGCATCAGGTTTTGTGCTGGTGTTGTGTGGAAGTCTGTTCTCCTGTCGATATGTGTTTCCTGTATTCGACAGCAACTGGCTTTCATATTAGTGACCTGCCTAGTGTAGCTTGCCCAGCGTATGTTTGCATCTAAGATTTTAGGAAAGTAGAGGAATGTGAAAACACCTCATTTTCGTGGACTTGAACATAAGAACACATTTTTTATCTCATATTCTGACTTCTACTCTGTCACTTCCAGGTATGATGGCCAGTACGGAGCACCAGCCCAGAAGCGCGTCAGCATGCTGAGTCCAAACCACCCACCTCCTGCTCCCCCCATGGCCTCTTCCCCTCCCAGCTCTCGCCCCAGCCTCTCCCCTCCCCCTGCACCTCCTCCCCCTCCTCCATCCTCTGGCTTCGGGGTCCCCCCACCTCCCCCTGGCTTCGACAGCCCACCTCCCCCTCCTCCGCTCTCCTCCTCTCCCACCTCCTACCCCTCCCCACCTGCTCCGCCTCCTCCACCTGCTATGTCCGGTGTTTCTCCACCTCCTCCGCCACCTATGCCTGCAGGTGGTGGTGGTCCACCACCCCCTCCTCCTCCTCCTCCTCCCCCTGGACCACCTCCCCCATCCTTTGAGCACTCTGCTCCCCCTCCTCCCTCTGGTGGTGGGGCACCACCCAGTTCTGCTCCCAAACCTCAGCCAGAGCCTGCTGGTGATGCTCGCAGTGATCTGCTTCAGGCCATCCGACAAGGTAAGACACAAGGGAATGAAATGGATATAAAGTGGATTTTTTGAGGCAGATTATGGTTTTGAAAAACTCTAATGAGCATAGAAAACAAAAATAAATTTTTATAAAGTACCCAGCAGTATATATAATAGCCAAAATCAGCTCTAAATCAGCTGGCTACAACATAAATTGCTGCACACACACATTAAAACATCACTAACTCCTATCCAACAGTGTAATGTTAAATATAAAACTGACGGGCCCATTCTGGATTATGAGTACCTGTTTATTTTGATGCCTTAAAGTTACCCCTGTAGTGAACAGTAATATTTACATTCAGTGTTCACAAAGAACTTGTTCAAAAGCTTTGGACAGAATCTTTCTTACACAAATGCTGTTTAAATAACCAGCTGATAGTAATCAAGTAGTCCACGTACAGTGTTTGTATTGGGTCTCTTAAAACATTACAATATATGAACAATCATTTTTAAACTACAGTAATTCTAGTTTTTCTTTTTAAACTTCACTCCCACTGTGATACTTCGCCTTGGGGTAACACGTCTGCTACAGATGGCTACCTGGAGTTGGTGCTGTGTGCACATCAAAGTCATGACAAGAAAAATAAAGTTATTTTCTCTTAATGTAAAATGTAGTCTCCTTGAAGCTTACAATACGTCTCCAAAAACGAACCAGAGAGATGCAGCAGCAAAACTTGGTGATCCTGAGGCTAACTTGTCTACTCAAATAAATGGGAAACAGTCATGGCTGCAAGTGATGGAGACAGAAAACAAATGCACACAGGGGAAGCAACTCTGGTTAAAACTACCCGATCCACCACATACTTTGTCTTGAATTGCAGTTTTTATTGCAAGAAAAATTTCCCTCTAATTGTCATATTTATTGTCAGGTGCACACACTCACTGTAACTGTCCTCACTACCTCCCTTTTAGGTTTCAACCTGCGTAAGGTGGAGGCACAGCGGGAGCAGGAGAAGAGGGATCACTTTGGCAATGACGTGGCAGCCATCCTGTCCCGTCGTATCGCCGTGGAGTGCAGTGACAGCGAGGACGACTCCTCAGAGTTTGACGATGACGAGTGGTCCGACTGATCTTCATCCCCTTTCTCCCTCACTACCACCTTGGTATCTTCCCTCAGCCCTAAACAACATCCGTATATTTCCATTCAGATTACGTTCTTAAGTACCAGAGAGACAGAGGTCCGTATTCTGACCTATTTCAAATCACATTCCTTGAACCATTTATTTTTATTTATCCAAAATTATTCCGATCAGAGGTGCAAAAGTCCAAAGCTTGATTAAAATAGTGTGTGCCTGGTTGTGTGTCCTCATTTGACATTGCTTTCATTGGATGACACAGTACGGCAACCGATGTTAGTGTTGTGTGACGTGATGCACATCTCACTGCTGAGTCTGTGCGTAAGCACATCACCTCTGTCTGTATCTTCGTGTCTCATAGAATCAGGTGCTCTCTGCTGTTGGCCAAATGTCTGCTCTTATCTGCTTTAGTATATCACGGCACAGGATAACAGAGAGGGAGCACACACACGAGCGTGCAGCCTCTCACATGCACAGTATTTGTATGTGCTCAGTGGGAAGACACGAGGTGTTGATGTCAAAACATTTTTTGCTCACTCAGATTATATGATATAGATGTAAGGTTTATATTACGTATTGAATCATATCCAATTATGATAATTAAGGCAATCCTTTTATATTCCTTTATCACTTATCCTTTCTCCACTTTTGTATTCAGTCTTCCTTCTTTTTGTGGTTGTCATGGGAACAATTCACGTGTGTATGAGACATGGTTGTAGTTTATAACAAATCCATGAGTTAATGATTCAGTGTGACAGGGGAAGTATTGGCTCATGGCAGACACCTGGGGTGTTTGAGATCAGCATACTGAACATATGCAGATATTTCGCACAAATATGATTCACTGTGTGTTTCTGTTATGTATTTCCTCCTGCTGTTTCTTTTTTTACTTTTCTGGGGATCAGTAGGCTCTGATGCTTTAATGACTTTGCTCTGTGTAGAATCAGGCAGCTGTTTGCCTGCTGCCTGATAAGTGCCTTTTTTATACTGCATTTCAGTGTCAGTGCAGGTTTGTTTTGGTATCCACACTGGTCACTGATCAGCGTCTTCCTAAAATATTATCAGCTGCCACGGACGAGTCAAATGTAGAACTGACTGATGTTTAGTGTGGACCACGTATTTCTCAAGTGCCTTCTTGTTTTAAGTCTGCCTGTGTTACAGCACAATCACACAGCATGCAAAGCTTCTCCTGCCTTAAATTTCCAAATGATTATTTCAATAAAGATAGAGTGTATTACAGTGATTGTTTAGGTTTCTTTCCTGTGAGAACAAACAGTGTGTATGCTGTGATGTGCAAGCTCCCAAAAATGTCAAGACTCCAAATGCTTTATCCATGACTCATCCTCTTCATATCAGTGGAGGACACCTTCTCACAGTGCCCAGTGCTGACTGTGTGGAGTGAGAAAATGAGTAGGAGAGAGGAACCTCTTGCATAATCACTTTGTCCTCACACCTTTCTCCTTTGTAGGATTTCAAAGGATGTAGTGATGATAATAAAGTCAAAGATTGCTTTAGCCACCAAATAATTTAGGGTACCGGAATAGAGGCAGCAGTCTGTGCCTAGCTGTGTTAAAGAGTGAGAGATAGAGAGAGAGAGACAAACACACTAAAACCCTCAGCAGCAGTGAAGAGAAGAGTGCTGACGTCGCTCGGTAGAAAAAAAAGCATATTTATTATTCATCGGTATAAAATATTCATTCATTTCAAAAAGGCTGTGCAACATGAACATATGGTCAGTACCTTTCAAAGTGCCTTTAACAGCATGTGCAAAATAGACTCTCAAAGATCTAGAACATTGTGTTTTCTAGACATTCAAGTAAATAAAATTGGGCTTTGGATCACATCATTACACTGTGATAGGCGTACATTTAATAACACATCCCCTCCTCCCATCTTAAAGTGCCAGTGGTGATTAAATTCACTGTCTATGATTTGGGATGTAAACAGCGTCCGTGTGATTGCTTCAGTCCGGTGATCCAGTGGAGCTACAATTTACTGAGGATGAGGCACAAAGTACACACAAGACAGTACGTTTAATCTGTACTCCCAACATGGCCGATTGCCAGTACAGTCCAGAATGTTCTGATATAGCAGAGGGACTTCTTCTCTTGGAGAATTGCTTTGTGTGTGTGGGAGTGTGTGAGAGACTTCATGTTCTTGATCTGGATGATAGTCAGTACAGCTATGTGTGTATCTTGGCACACAAACAGTGATATGTCTGGCATAGATTGCGTGGTGTTTTGAGTCTGGCGAGGTTTGGCAGTCTACACATCGACGGGGTAGTGTATGTGTGTGTTGTGTGTGTATCTGTGCGGGCAGCAGGCCTGGAGCAGCACCTTGCGAATGTCTTTGTTTCTCAGACTGTAGAGGATTGGGTTCAGCAGCGAGCTGCCCGCCGCCGGCACCAGCGTGGCATAGGTGTACAGAGGAGGGCTGGACGCGTCTCCCAGCAGCCCCCAGAGAGAGAAAGGCATCCAGCAGCCCACAAACACACTAAGGACCAGGATCAACCGAGAGAAGCCCCTCCCACTGCTGTGTTTGCTTGCATATGATTGGTTGGCAGGGAGGAAGTGCCTCTGGGTGGCGATGGCGTGGGCATGCCGCCTTGCCACACGGCAGATCCCAGCGTACAATTGCAGAGTTACCATGACAACTACCAGGAAGCCGCCACACAGCAGCGACAGGTATGTCCGGGTCAGAGGTCGTGCTACAGAACATGAGTTGGGTTCACCCAGACAGTGCCATCCCATTGCAGGTCCCGCCCCGATGACACATGCACCCAACCACACCAGCAGCAGGAGGATAGTGGCTCGGTGCCGTGATTGACTTGAACCATAGGTGAGGGCGTGGCTTAAAGACAGGTATCTGTCCAAAGCAACACCCATCAGGCTACAGAGCGAGGCAGTCAGTGATGTCACCAGCAGTCCTGACGTCAGCAGTTCTGACCAATCACTGGGCTCCACGCAGAACAGGAAGAGGAAGTGCAAGATCAGAGCAACACCTGCCAGGAGATCAGCCAATCCAAGGCTAGCCAGCAGCAGGAAAACAGGGGCACGAAGAGACGGGGTGGCCAAGATGGTGGTGACGACTATTGCATTTTCAGTGGCGATGAGGGTTCCTGAAACACACAGGGCCACGCCCCACACTGTGAGGGGCGGGACTTCATACGTGGATGAGCTGTCCAGAGGGTCCAGAGGGAAGAATGGTTCTGAACCTGAGGACTCATTCCAGCCCAGGTCAGAGGCATTCAGGATCATGGCCTTTCAGCAGTCACACAAACACAACCTAAGAGGGAGAAAAGAGGAAGAGATGTTGACATTAGCTCTAATGGGTCATTAGCGTATCCATCTGTCCAGTAAACAGCCTCGCATTGACCAGAAGCTCTGGTTTCAGACTGTGGAGCTGCTGGAGGCCGGATGTGGCATCTAATGAGGAGTTTAAGATGTTATTCTCCAAAGCACTTGAGCTATATAACAGTAGATTATCACTATGAGTGCATTAAGTGGTATTTACTTTTTTTTTTTTTTACTTTTATTATATACATGGATAAAAAATAGGAAGATAGAGCATAGAGTATTCAGTGAGAGGACTAATTTATGTCACATATAATTGTGTTTACATCTTAAATAATTAATAGCCTGACCCCATTTTATACCTAAATTTAAGAAAAGGCCTTTACAAAGCAAATAAGAAATGCAAAATATAGATTACCAGCACTATTATAGGCTGGAAAATAATTTTTAAATGACCCATTTTGAAATTGCACTTCTCAGATTTATTATTTTTTTTTTTTTGGTCAACTCATAAATATGTCTACGTTTTGCTTTTTAAATGATCCCAAATACATCTCATTCAGTAATCTGCCGGCCCCTGAAATGCAGGTGACGTCACCATCTGTAGCCTTGCGGGAACTCACGCAAATCAATAAGCAGCCTCTTTAATCCACCTTGATGGATAGTTAGTGACGTGAATGCATCATTAAGCTGTCACTGATTGAACTACTACCTGCTAACTGTCATTAATTTAAAGCACAAATCTGAATCAGGACATTTACTGTCTTCCACTCTTGGATTTAAATGGTGTTTGGATGCTCCCTCTGAAAGCTGTCTGCACACAGGAGCATCCAAACATCAGAAATATCATTTATGGCTTGGGTTGTTAAAATTGCACTTGTACACTCAGTGCCAGATAAAATAAGTGAGCTACAATCCCTCTTGTTAATGTCCAAACATGGTGTTAAACTAGAGGGACATCACATTGGGTTCTATATATATCATGCAGTATTTTATAAATGAGACTTATGCTGGTGATAAGCCACTGTAGGAATTCATCTTTATCTGTCTGTTCTTCAGCACATATCAAACTGTCCTGCACGCCTACTGAAAATAAACACCACATTGTAACTCTAATACAATAATGCTATTTTAAGACGATTTATTTTTTGTTCACACAGGAGCACGAGGAGTCTTTCATCTCAGTGAGAAGGTATATCCCACCTCCTGGTGCGGAGGACCCTGTTGTATAACAGTTGCATGTTCATTGCGCCACAGAGGATGTCCCCCGACACACGCACGCACACATGAACACGCACATACAGATGGATATCATGGATGATTCCTCTTACCTTATTAAGGTGATCCCGTGATTTCCTTTGCAGGAGTCAAACAGATGTGCTCTCCTCTTGTAAGATCCAGATGATGGAGACGGGATGAAGCTGTCCGCGGTGATGCTCGGCACCAGTCTAAATACGGAGGACAGTCCCAGCGCGTGTGCGTGACACCGCTCCGTGCTCCTGGCTTTATCAAAGTCGCTCCAAACTCTCACTTGGCGTCTTTTGCATCTCTTTTTCTCCCTGGTCTCTCCGGAGCGCTTACGGGAGGCAGAATGGATGCTCTTGCGCGCGGACTCACCCACAAGAGAGCCTGTCTGACGTCAGTGACTGGGAGGCTCGGCCAATGAGGTGCCCGGGATTGAGGATGCGGGGAGAGTAGGGGAGGGGATGCAAAGGGAGTAATTTCATTCAGAAAAATGCGGCATCTCCGTGGCCCCTCCCACTGCGGTTCACGCTTGCTCTCATTTCTTGTAAATAATGACCACCAATAACCCCCCCCCCCCCCCCCCCCCCCCCCCCCCCCCCCCCCCCCCCCCCCCCCCCCCCCCCCCCCCTCTCTACCCTCCTTTCCAGCACACACAGATTTTCTCAATAAGACCCAAGGGCCTGATTGAATGAGAGGATATTGTGTTGTGTCGGGCAGGGCCCAGAGGTGTCGGGCTGCAGGTACACAGCTCAGGACTGGCGCTGTCCGCGGTGCTGAAGCGCACCGGGATGAGTCACGGGGAGATGTCCTGCAGAGCAACAATCATCTGTGTGAAACTGACACTTGAAGTGAAAAGAACCTTCCCATTGCCAAAAATTATTATTATAGTGATAATATTGGTGGGTGTATTGTAGGCTAAGTGTGTACACAGGGACGGGGAGACACAGCCGAAACATAACTATTAACCCAATTTAATTGCCTCAAAATTGATCAGACAATAAAAAAAAAATGCATTTATTTTCTTGTCGTCTAACATATTGATTGCCCCCCTTCCCCCCGCCTCTTCCAGTATGTTACAGCACCGGGGTATTCAGGCTTCCCCGGTTTGATAGTGAGCGTGGGTGCTGCAGGATGGGCTGCACGGCTGTCTACGTGGTCGCGCATATCAATCCGTAAACTGGGGGGGATTCTCGCTCTGCTCGAGCCATATTAGGACACGCTTCCTGCCAATAACCTCCTACGTCACTTAGAGGAGCTGAAGAGCAAACCTTGTCACCTTCAAAACTGTCTCCAGAGTTCTGCAAAATCACAGCAGTGTTTCCCACCCCACATTAATGATGCCACTGCTAAATATCAAATCACTGGCAGGGACATTATATGTGATTGCCATCGTCTAAAACACTGCAGGCTATATTGCATTAATGTATTTTGTTCAGTTACATAACACGTGTATTTGGAGGCTACTACTAATACTACCAGGTCCTCTCGCCCCCTCTCTTGGCTGTAAAACGCAGCATTATCCACCGGTGTGTCGCTGGTGTATCGATTGTTTGCCAGCAGTGGGAGCATGGAGGATGAGATCGTGTCCGACAGCACTGCGGAATATCCCTTTGTGATTTTTTTTTCTTACTTAACACGCCAACACACAAACCAGCCACCCCGTGGAGATGAACAAATGTACCCAGACAATGTGTGAGAGAGCATA